GTTGTGTTACACATCTTGCATTGAAATACATTCTTGACTTTGTATGTTTATCTGTAGGTGAAAAACCTTACGAGTGTCCAGATTGCCATGAGCGATTTGCAAGGAACAGCACACTGAAGTGCCATATGGCAGCCTGTCAGAATGGTGCCGGAGCCAAGAAAGGACGCAAGAAACTCTATGAATGCCAGGTACAGTTTGTCCAGAATCAAGGCCATCAAGTGCCAAACCCCTACCGGTGTAGTATAAACAGTAGCAAAAAGATTTCCCGAATAATTTTTTTTACATTCTGTAAATGCCTTTATTCACTCAATGCTGAAAGACACATTGATTCTGATACACGGTTTAGTGTGCAGACTGATGTTTTGAATAATGAAGTAATACTGTACAGTGTTTCCCATACGTTCATTTATTTTTGGTGGCCCACCATAATCAACGCTGACCGCGTTTTTTTTACTAGGCCTATTTAAAATCATATTTGATCGCAGAGTGCCGTAGCGCATTTGCGCAGCACATCCTCTCACTCGTCTCTCTCTCTCTCTCCCTCCCTGCACACACACCTGCACAAATCTGTCCAACACAACGCTGTCAGTGTTGGAGACCCAACTTAAAAAAAAGTTATTAGCAAGCATGTAAGGAGCCTAGCTAATAAGGAGAGCTAAGTTAAAGTCAATATTGACTGCACGCGCACACACACCCCCCGGTGCCACAGTTACCCTGTCATTCTGTGGGAAACATTGCTTTATGTACTGATGTATTATCTTACCGTTTGGTAAATGGACTGTACTTGTATATTGCCTTTGTAGTCTTCCAAGTGCTTTACACTTAATGTCACATTTGTCCTATTCATACACTGATGAATGTAGAGGCTACCATGCCAGCTGCTCACCAGAAACAAATCATTCATACACACTCAATTTGGGAGCAATTTGGAGTTCAGTATCTTACCGAAGGACACTTCGACATGCAGGCTGGAGGAGCCGGAGATTGAAAAGCTGATTAGTGGGAGGCCCACTCTACCTCCTGAGCCACAGCCGCCCCCGTTTCTAAGATTGTGGTGATTTACTTTGTAAATGTAGTTTAACGGGAATCTGTCATGCTCAGTTCCAGCTCTGTATTTCTATTCTAGGATTTCATTAGAGCTTTGCCTGAATCAGTTTTTTTAAAAAATCCCTATTTATCTTATACTGGCCTTGCAGCCGCTCAGTTAATGCTCTGTTTGAAACATGTTATTTTTAGCTCCTGTCTCTTTACGACCCCCCCTTCCTAAAATCCCACTTTCATCTGATTGGCCAACTACGGAAGCCTGCTGAGGGCCTGGTGAGGAGCTGCCACTAAGTTCTCTTTCTACACCCAGTGCTTTAGCCTGCACCGCCTCATTCTCTCGAAAGCATATGACAGCTTTAACTTGGGAAAATAGGGATAAGGGGCTCTGAATTTGATGAATTTCTGTTTATCAGACCACAAATCAGACAAAAATTAGTTTGGAAAAACGGTAGATGCCACAAGAGCATTGTGTTCCCGGGGGTCGGTGTATGTTTCTGATTCCCTGATTGTGTAGAAATTCTGGAATATATTCTATTCTATGGCGTTTCTGGATGGACAGCTTTAAAGTAATCGCCAACTGCTGCTCACTGAACCGTTAGCTAGTTAGCGCAGTTAACCGTGCAGCTAATGGCCCTATTAGCTTAGCTCACTCTGCCCGGACTGGGAGCTCAAGCACCGGGGAACTGTTTGTGTTTACACCGCAAGCACAGGAGCTTTGGACCTCTGGGAGGAGGAGTTTTTCAGGCCCGGGTTCTGAGTGTGGGCAGAGTCAGCTTGCTAATGGGACCTCTAGCTGCGTGGCTAACTTAGCTAACAGCAGCTAGTAACCGGTTACTTTAGAAACAAGTAAAGCCATCTGTCTATCAAGAAACTAACTAACTTCGATCACACCCTGAAAAATCACTTTGACATATTGACAAGACATATTGAACAATCTCTAAAAAACTGAGCAGAGTTATTTCTCTTTATATAAGTATCTCCACACTTTGTTTTAGCGCAGTACAAGTGTTGGAGAAAGCTTTGTAAGCAAAGCAGTGTAATTACTGAGACAGACTGAGTGGGTAAGCAGATGACTGTTGCTCCTAATCCAAGTCATTTCATATTTGGTATTAGTAAACCTGATCCCGCTATAGGCCAGATATGCTTGACCGGTAGTGAATAATGTATTTCTGTATTAAGAAAATACAGCTTGCATAACAGCTTTCTGTTCATGATGACAAGGAAACAAAGGAGGTGAGCTGCTGGGATTAGTTGATTAATTGTTTATTAAATAGATGGAAAATTAATCTGTAACTACTTACATAACTAATTGTTGAAGTCGTTTTTCAAGCTAAAATTGGTTCCAGTTTTTTACTTCTTTTCCTGGTCGTACATTAGTAAAGAATGTTTTTTTGGTTTTGGACAAAAATAGACAAATGAGGACAGTTTAGGGCATTTGTCAAGTTTTATAGCCCCCACGATTAATCCTCAATCTTTCATGGGGACATCCCTTTCTTCTAGTGAATCTAATGTTTTATCAGTTCACTTCCTATGTTACTCATTGGGAAGAATGCTATTGGTCCTCCTATTTTCATTTATGATCATGACCTATTATTTTCTCCTCCACCTCCTCCATTAGGTCTGCAGTAGTGTATTTAACAGCTGGGACCAGTTCAAAGACCATCTTGTGAGCCACACAGGAGACAAGCCCAACCACTGCACCATGTGTGACATGTGGTTCACCCACCCAAAAGAACTAAAGGTGCACCTCAAACATGTCCATTCCATTGAGGACAGTAAGTCAACTGAAGAAGTGGTCATCACTGACTCCGCCGGAGCCACCGCTCTCGCCATCGCAACACAGAGCATAGAAGGAGCCGAAACGGTTCTGCTGGACGATGGAATTCAGGTGGAGCACATCACAGTGGAGCCTGTGGATGTGATGGAGATGGAGGAGACCGCAACAGTTGTGGTGGAGGACGGAGGGGTGGCAGAGATGTGTGAAGAGGATGTGGAGAGATTAAAGCGGGCCGGGGTGCAGATCCAGGTGGTGCGTGTGACCACAACTGAAGTTGATGGGCAGCAGGTGGTGAACTCGCAGGTGGAAGTAGAGATGGAGGGTGAAATGGTGAACGTTGAGGAGGCAGAACAAACAGTGGTTGTATGAGAATGTGAAAAGGACTGTGTCTTAAATGACCTGCGGGACATTATCGTTTAGCGGACATCTTAGTTTCCATAAAGGATACTGCATGTGGGATAAAGCATGTCACTTCAATATGTCCTGCTGTCTGCCATCACATTGAATGACTCGGTTCCCACCAACCTCACATTTTGAACTATGCGTTATGAACAGTTATGGATATGAATCGTTTCCTGCTTATGATCCTGTATTTATTTGAAAGCTATCATATCACATATTCTGACTCTTCATTGCTTCATCAATCTTAATCATCAATTTTCATGTGTTTTATTTTTTTCTGTGTCCTTATTTTAACTACGATTTGTCTTTTTTTTTTTTTTGTTTGGGTCACATGCCAAGACAATTTGACAATGAATGAAATGTTCATGTTGCAGCTTATTAAACCACCGATGTATGGTGCTGATGTTCCTCAGCGCTTATGCCACAGTTTTGTTCAAGTTCCTATTGACTTTTGTTTTTTTTTTGTAGGTAAAACTCAGATATGGAATAAAATTGGTTTCCTGAATAGCTCTTTCATCCACATATTTAGGAATGCTGTTGAGTGTATTATGCCTTCAGTGTGTTTGTTTTTCCTTCCTTAAAGCTGATGTAATCAATATTTTTTTATTAGCAATGGGTTAAATGACTGTGTATTGTGAAAGAAGTTGTTAATAGTGATGAATCCATAGAGACTTACCACCCAACTCTGCAGTACGTTTTAGCTCTACAGATTCTTTTTTATGTTTGATTCAGACTCACCTCTCTCATCAGCATTGTTTCCGCATACAGCAGGCAGCTGTCATCAATGAAAAAAGCTGTGAGAAACCCAGCGTATAATTATATAATACAGTCATGAAGTTTTTAAGGTGGCTAATTTAATCTAAATGTTGTGTTTACAGCTTGTTTCCACTGCCCCCAAGTGGCAAAAAAATATAACATGAGAAATAAAGTATAAATATAAGACATCAAAAGAATATAATTAAGATAATTGTCTAGCACTTGTACTGAGAAAGTAAGTTATTAAAAGCAGTTGGGCAAAGTTAAAAGAAATCCTCTGGACTGTTGTTCATTACCTAGCTCATTTAAGAGGCTTCATTGGCGCTACTGATGGATGAGGAACCCAAGGCATTCAAATCTCAGGGTTCACAACAACCTTTTGTTGTTAAATATGGATGAGCCCAGTGGATAGTTTCATTCTAACTTGACTGTGAAACTAGTGACTGAGATGAATCTATTAGTGACGTGAAAGGGATCGTATTCACAGAATATTAAACCATTGCATCCCAAGGATATCACACCTCAAATATTCCGACCAACCATACAGGCTGTATTACCTTAAATAATAAATACACAGTAAAACAGTCGAACTGCAATCTAAAATAAGATAGTCCAAGTAATGTACAGCATATGTGCATATCATTTGAAAGTGGGGGTAGCCTACTAAGTTATATCCATGAGCAAGTGAGCAAACTCCATCCACTGAGGACGACCTGGAAAGGGCTGGTAAGTGGACCTCACTGTATTTTTGTCAGTTTGATGAACCCACATTTATATTTCAGGCCTCCTGCTGGTCCTGTGACCCCACCTTGAACCTCTGCTGTGCTAACAGCTCGGCCGGTGACCATGGTGAGTGACACACACAGGTTAGGTTACCCGGTGAGACCCGCCGCCTCGTACTCTGAACAGCTCCTGTGGTGCTGAACTCAAATAAAGTCGTAGTTCCTGACTCTGATTGGGTACGAGAAGCACTGTGGACTCCTCAGTCCGTAGCCGATTGGTTGCTTTACCTGCCAGTCAAGTGGATTTCCTTTAAGAACAGACTGAACCAGAGGAAGCAGCTGCTGCAGGGCCAGTGCGCTCAATGTCATCGGTCACCGGAGAAGATGATTACAGCGAGGTCGGTAAAGCTTTTGGCCCATGAAGATATTCACTCAAGTAAGACTGATTCACAAACTAAGCTCTGTGGTGTTTATATACTGTCAGGAGTGGGATGAGAAACGCGCTGGCTCATAGGGAATGGCCTGTCGCGAGATGTTAACTGTTGACTGTCATTGAACGCCGATAGACAAGCCACTTAATGCACTGCAAGATTTATTTACTCGAAAGCAGGGATGTGTTTGGAAAGCTGGCAAATGCAAAGTATTTAGGCCTATATTCTAGCACAGCACTGTCACAAGATGTACCGATTGGCGACTCAGCAGTACCTCATAAATAATCTCTGGTAGCCTATAGAACTCGTATCATATCACCGAGAATGTTTTTTGTCATATTCTTGCGGTCCATGTTTTGTTATATTTTAGTCAAATTTAACAAAGGTTGTAGTCGTTTAATTGAATGCATCACTAAAGAAAAGGATCACAGTGCATCACTTGGCAGTTACGCACGCACGCGCGCAATTTAAGGTGTCAATTTTGGGCACCTGTCTCACCGATCCTTCACTGTTCTGACCACAGTGTAGCCTAGGCTTCATGAAACTGGGCAAAGAATGGAAGAGTTTACCTGTTGTAATCTGATGGGGTTTTGTCTCATTAAGGAAAGATTGACTGACACTTTGATTACTATCATCTTGATCTGTAGCAAAGGCCTGTAAGCAATAGATTGCTTTTTAGGAGTAAAGTAGTTTGATAGGCACAGACTCAGCAATGCAGTACTAAAACGGGCCTGTGGCTACAAGGAAAGGAAACCTCATGAAACCAAGACTTTTTTTTTTTTTTAAACCTGCCTCAATCATTCTTTCAATGTCGACCTGGATTAGAAACTGAGCACATTTCCATATTTTTGAAGCAAAAATAGTCTGGTCTGTATAATAGGTCTGTTTACTTCCGCCTGAAAATTTGTTCTTGATTTCTATTCTTTTGATAGTCAGTCAGAGCACATGAAACATTGTGTTTGGTGTGTTCTTTCTTTGATGCGAACCTCTTTAAAGTGCTGACAGTGTATAACATGCAATCTCAGAATGATCTGTAAAGCAGGAAGAAATATATGAATAGACCAAATAGATTTTGAGTTGAACCACAGGATGCAGGATTTACAGTGACTTATGTTCTTGATTTCCCTGCATACAGTGTCATGGTAACTTTGTTAAGGCCTCAGAGACCCTCGCTCTCTCTGGTACTGGGAGCGATACAGTAATACATGTTCTGTATTGTCACAACTATAGTAGTAATTGGCTGGCACTGACAAATGGTTGGGTAGGTACATTTATTTGTCACAATATAATTTATATAGTGAAATTGAGTTTTGTAACTCTCTTCTGCTACATAGCAGACAATATACATTAATACAGAAGCAATTATAAAAATGCTAAACAGAAATGAACTATAATCAATGGAGCAGTGCGGAGGATGAATTTGAGCTTAAAAGTCCAATAGCTTGAGGGGAAAAAGCTGCTCTGAAATCTGGTGGTGTGGCAACTGAAGCTTCTATTTCTCTTCCCAGAAGGCAGCAGGGTGAACATGCTGTGGCTGGGGGGGGGGTACTGCCCTTTAGTATCCTTTGGGCTCTGCGTTGGCACTTCACCTCACCGATATCGCTGATGCTCGGGAGATGGGTACCAATTATCTTCTGTGCAGTTTTAATCACCTGCTGCAGAGCCCTCTGGTCCTGGGCCGTGCACATCCCATGCCAGTTTGTGATGTTTCCAGTCAGGATGCTTTCTATTACTCCTGTTTAAATAAATAAAAAATTACAAGAACTTGGTACAGGAATTTGGCCTTAAGCTTCCTCAAGCTGTTTCTGAGCTTTCTTCACCAGCGTGGAGATGAGACGACTGTGTCAGGTTCTCCGTGATGTTAAATACCAGGAACCTGAAACTGTTCACCTGCTCCACCTCTGCTCTACAGATGTAGACAGGAGTGTGTGTCTTTATCTGCTGTTTCCTGAAATCAGTGGTCAGCTCCTTGGTTTTGCTGATGTTGAGCAGTAGGTTGTTCACTGTACACCACTCTGCAAGATTATCAATCTCCACCCAATATGAATTCATTGTTTGAAATCCGGCCAATGATGGTGATGTCGTCCGCCATCTTCACAACAGAGTTCTGTCCATGTCGTGGGTGCACAGCATGAACAGGAGGGGGCTGAGCACAAAGCCCAGGGGGGCTCCGGTGTTTAGCACTAGAGATGAGGTGTGTCCGCCAATCTGAACTGACTGGGGTCTGTTTGTGAGGAAGTCCAATATCCAGTTGGTGTGTTGCATTTAAACCCAGAGTGCTGAGTTTGCTGCTCAGTTTCAGCAGGGGGCGGGGTTTGGAAATGTGAAATATTTGCTCCATAGCTTCCAGAGAGGCCTGCCTCTCTGTTCCTAGGGCCCATAGTCTTCATTGTCGCAGCTCTTTCACTGCTGAGCTCTTCATTCTTGTCAGCCGTGCGTCTCAATTAACACACTGGGGGAGCTTTGTGTGGAGAGTGGTGTCTGTGTGCGCACACTTCTGTATGTATTTACATGAGCGTACTTGTGCATGTGTCTGTCTGAGGAAAGGGTGTGTGAATGTGTGTGCATTGGAGCGCTCCTGTTGTCCTTTATGCCTGAACGCTTAACGGCAATGAAAAAGAGAATGGGATAAAAGCTCAAGAAAAAAGAGGGAATGGGAGGCAGAGTGAGGAGCTTTGTTAGAGACAAAACAAAGAGGAGGAACTCTGTTACAGTTAGACACTTTATGGCTTGTGATGGGAGAAACAGTTCCTCTGTTCTCTTACCATGTCTAACTACAGGCACAGACAGGCGTTTAGGAAAGAGGGTCTAATTCTTGATCCACAGCTGCTGTGGATGGGCTCTTGCGTTTTCTTTTGTTGGAGTGTGTGTGAAGAGGCTGCTGATGCTAGCAGTGTGATCCTCATTCTCTTTAGGGATCCTCAGACAAATTGAGTCTCTGGTGAGTAAGGACCCGTATTTGGCAAAGCTGACAGTGTTTGCAGATGAAGGGCTTGCAATTTGCAGACTTATAAACCTGTTTGCTGTAAGCAGTGTACTGTATTGAGTGAGTTTTTGAATGGTACATCTGTCTGCAATTCTTACTTGAAACAGCAAAGTTGGGCAGACTGGATGGATGAATGCATCCAGTCTGCCCATTTTCTGCTGCTTACCTTGGGCCGGGTCGCAGTGGCAGCAGGCTAAGCAATGTAGTCCTGACATCCCTCACCCCAGCAACATTTTGCAGCTCCTCTGGGTGGTGGGGGGTGTTCCAGAAGCATTCTCAAACCAGATGAGATTTATAATCTCTAGCGTATTCTGGCTCTTCCCCAGGTTCTCCCACCAGTTAGATGTACCCGGAAAGCCACTCAGGAGGCATCCTTGATCAGACATGCAGAAGCAGCAGCTCCCTCCGGATGTCTGGGCTCCTTGCCCTGTATCTCAGGCTGAGCCCAACCACCATACGGAGGAAACTCATTGCAGACGCTTGTATCTGCAATCTCATTCTTTCAATCACTACCCAAAGCTCATGACCCAAGATGCCTTCTTTTTAAAACATCATAATTCTACTACAAATATCCCTTCAACAGACCTGCTTTTTCTCTTGAAAGGTTTTGTTGCTTTAAAACTGATTTTAATATTGCTTTGCTTGCTTGGTCTAATCAGAATTTTAAAACGGAGGCAAAAGCTAATTAAATGACAAAGCTGTAACCAGTTAGTCTTCAGTAATTTTTCCCAACATGGTGTATGATTAAAATGATTTACGGTGTTTTACTGGACGATTTCAGCTTTAATTCACAATCAGACTGGTATGAGCAAGGTACTATATATTTAAGGTTTCTAATTCCACTGCTCTGTTGTGCTCTGTCCCTGTGTGTATAAATCCGTCAGTCTGCTCGTGCACATCATTAACATGGGAACTGAGGCTCAATGCAGCACTTTAGAGCTGTAAACATGGCATTGTGCGCTCTTTTTTTACACTCAGTGCCAGTTGATGCCTAATCCTCAGCATGAGGGGGAAAAAGACAAACGTGCATCCATCTCCGAGCAACCAGGTAAATCTGTTTAGTTGAAGCAAAACGCAAAGCAATCTGGCTCATCTAGACTCTCTGTGGGGAAACTCTCCACTTAAAGTCATTATCAGTCACAGTTATCTCACAGTGCTTTTAAAGTGATGAAATAAAACAATATTTGCAGCAAGTTAAATGGCAAACTGGTGTCTAATACACTGTTTGACATTGTACTGGCTATATCCTAAGACATATTAACCAATCCCCTTTCAGTATACAATACTATTACTACTAGTACCATGTAAATATTCATCTATAATTGAAAAATACCATTTCCTTATGGTGATTTTGTCCCCAACCTCTCCAATTATTGATGTGTCTCATGCAGGTTGTCCTTTAGTCTTTTTTTTTTTTTTATTTACATACACAAAAGGCTGGTATTCAGGGCTTGTTGCTTTGTGCTGTAAAGGGGAGGCCTCTCCTCTCTTAGCAAGTCCTTTTAGGCTGCCTGAGATCAATGCTGAGATATTCATGGTGCAATGGCAGGAAGGTGTTTGAAGGCTGTGAGACTGTAGGCCTTACAAAAGAGAATTGCTTTGATTTCCTAGCGAGGCTTTAACATAGATTCATTTATCTTAATTTAGAGACGGATGAGAGAACACCCTTCAAAGCGCCATGTTGCACTATAAGTTAACTATTTCTAATCCTGCCTTACACAAACACCATGTTATGTCATGACAGTGTCTTTTTCTGAGCACCCTAACTGAGTTTATGATCTGTTCTCCCCTGGATGCCCTGTTAGAGTAGATTGTTTCATTACTCACAGCAACTATAACTCATGTCCATGTTCGTTTTTTTAAAATTAATTTACACATTCAACTGTTGATTACTGACATCGCCATTTAACTTCATCACCTCAGAAAAGAATGTATTTGCATTCACATTACCTGATAACTTGAGGTACATTTTTGCTCCCTACCAACAAGATGAAACAAATGCAGCACAAGTATACTATGGTCTATTTCATGAATGTGCAGAAGGTTACAGTTTGCAAATTATTAGGATATGGCATTATTCTACATTTTGTTTATTGTCAACAAATCCCATGAAAAGAACAAAATCAGCCATTTGTTTGTCTCTTACTTACTCCAGCTTTCCTATCCTGTCAGTCACACTTAGCACCAAGTCAATGTTTTCTGACTGGAGATGTAAACCTCTAAAAACGAGTCACAAATGTATAGTTTTGTTTGATATAATACAGCTGGCCACTATGCTTACTGGAGTAAATTAGTGCATCAGTTTGCGGCCGTATACTCACTAGCACGTCAAATGTATTCATCTACAGAAAAATTAGCAACACTCAGTTGCCACCATTGTTAAGACTGAGTATGGAAACACCTGGCAGATTCAATACTGGGAGGATTGTTGATTGTAGTACGGTCCGAGTAAGTTCGCGTATGTGCCATTCACTGTGGTATTTTCCAAGGTAACTTAATTCAGGTGTCAGGTTGAACAATTTGACTGAAGCTGGTTGAAAGTATTAAGTGTGCACACTATTATTCCGTTAAACTACTATCAGGAGATGATGGTCAATTTACAATGTGATTTGAAAACAACTTCAAAAACAAAGTCCCCAGCTAAAATACATGCCACATTTCTTCTATTGCCAAAATATTTGGCAATAGAAGGTATTTTGACTAATTAAACACTGCAATTTGTTTGTACTTGCTGATTTGCATTGTCATAGGAAAAAAATATATTTTTGGACATGGGACATTATTGGAGCTTTCTATTCTGAGCTTATGCAATTATAAACTAGTTACAAACTTACACACACAGGATTGACAGTCATCACTCATACACTGTAATTGAAATGAAATAGGTTAGTCAAGTATCTTCTAGAAAGTGAGGGAGATCTCTGATTGGTTTGTTTTGGCTCTCATGGCAACCTCAGCCTGCATCGCCCTTGGAGCAGGACTAAAGCACTATTAAGTAAGGCTTACAATACGCATTAACAGACACTTAAGCAGATACTGCACAGGCCACTTGTGTTGACATGTGCACACAAAGTCTTTCATGCAGAAGGTGGAAAAAGGTGGGGAGGGGGAAAAAAATAAAACCCAAGAATTAGACAACAAAAAGGAAAGAGGACTAGCATGTGCACCATAATTAATCATAAATGACATTTTTGTATCTCTCTTGTGCTTCATTCCAGGTTGTCTCACTGAGCACGCTATGGCTGTACCCTGACACTGTCATCTGTTCAACCGGTTTTCTCCAACCCCCCCCCCCCCCCCCCCTCCCATTCAGCCCCTCTTCCCTCCTCCTCAACCTGTTGCCTATTTATACCCTGTCTCAAAAGAGCCCATTAAAGCTCCACAGACCTCTTCTGCAAGAGACAACAGTGAGCATGAACCCGATAACACATGGTCAATCTGATCGTCCATCTCATCATCTACACCGACATCTACAAATAAGGAAAAATGAAGCTTCAACTGTTGGGAGTTCTTGAAATGCAGCAAGACTACAACTGCGCCACGATTCAGATGACAAACTGATCGTGATATTCCATTGTGCCGAGAGCAGTTTATCAGCTGCATTTGATTTGGGACATTTTGGATGCAACACGCACCTGGGTCCATGGACTGGAGGTTCTGTCCTGTTTCAATGAAATGCTGGAAAACACACATTCATAACATTTGTTTAGTGACTCAGTTGGCTAAAAAGCAATGAGATTTGGGCAAGGACACTGAAAGAATTTACCTTCTAAGTGGCTCACATATCTGAAAGTAAGTCATGGTTGGGATTTTTTTTGTCCCTTGTGAATGTTCTAAATCAACTTTTATATTGGATCTATGATACTGGTTCTATAATAGTATAACAATGATTAATTTTCTGTATAAAAGCAAGATGCTATTTAACATTTGTGCTCTGTATGTATGAGGCAATTCTGTAGTTGCTCTGTACACTGTAAAAATGGGGACTTATTATTTAGTTAACAGTCTCCCAACGAAGAACAATGCATTGCAAATGTATTTTAAACGGCACAAAATGTATTACTAAAGCATTTTTATCTTTTAGTTTTAGATAGGAACTGGCATAATGTAGTAACATCAGTCACTATCTGCATCTGAACAGAGCCTACTTTATACAGAATGCTGTCAAGAAATCTGTCACAAATGTGGCAAGAAATACAAAAATATTTTTCTTATTGCGCATCCAGTCCTCCACCACTCCCAGCCATGAGATAAGCCCATGCCACCCTGGGCATCCCTTGCAGGATGACTGCTGTCTGCCCCTCTGAGAGCAGCCCGGAAGGGGCTGAAGCTGGGGCAGGGACAGCAGGCTCTGGGGAGTCTGGGACAGAAGGCACCGCTGGGAGCATCTCCGTTTCTGGCGCACGGACTGGGGAGTCTAATGCAGACTCTGTCGGAGGTTCGATTGGAGGCACAGCTGTGGTCACTGGTGGCCAAAGGTACACCCGCTGGAGCCGCCAGGACAGCTCAGACATCAACACAGACGATGAGGGAGCCACCATCCGCCGCCTCACTCCCCTGGAAAGGCTGAACCTGGATATGTGCCAGGATGAAAGGTAGGGGTCAAAAGAAGAAGCAGTAAACACCTTTTTTTTTTTTTATAGGGCCTTTGTGACCATAAGTTATATTAGAATCCCCATTTGTTGTATTTCTATTTGCTTTTTTTTTGACATACCAGGAGAATGAAATTCTTACTACGTCGTCACCACTGTATTATATCATAAAGAGAATTTTGTGTTACATGTTCTGTTATGTGATCTGGTCACAGGGTGGTCCGTGAGCTAACACTGGGCAGAAGAATTGGCTTCTACAAAATTCGAGGAGAGATCGGCTGTGGAAATTTCTCCCATGTCAAGCTAGGAATTCATGCCCTCACCAAAGGCAAGAAACTACAAGTCATCATTGAAATGCAACTGTTAAAATACCTACACTCAAGCAAAGGAAAACATCAATCATACTAACCGTAAAGAGATTATATAGTTATAGGAGGTAGTTTTAAATGATCAGCCTCACTTAAACACTAAATGCATCCATCTTTAAGGAGAAAATATCTTAGGTATGCTCCCATTTCTCTCTGCTCTGGCGTGCTGGTTTTAAGTGATAATGTGGCTGCTCCACTGTTTCCATCAATGGGCCGCAACGTTAACAAGTGTGTCCTTATGTAGCAATTCACTAACAAGGTGATGTGTGCCTGGCCACGGGGCTGATTCAGCCACAAAGGGGATGACTGTCTGCTGCCCTTGAACAGATGGATTGATTAGAGATCTCCAGTTTCCTTAGCGACGGCTAAAATTGCTGCATGCCTCATCAAAGGCTAAAAGGGAGGGAGGAGAATGGGTGTGTAGCTGTGTGTGCGCTCTGTTTTGTGCTTTACTGTATGCCTGTCTGGGCCATGCTATGTGTGTGAGTGCATGTAAGTGGTATCATTTAGTCCTCCAAAAACAATGTGTTGCGATGCATTTTGAATGCTCCTATTGAAAGCTATGTCACAGCTGAGAGGGAGCCTAATACCAGCCTGAATAATACATACGGACGCACAATTAGATATCTCAACACCACTTTGGACTTTTCTGCATTAAGTTACCTGAGCTCTGTTTTACATCTCTGAATCATTTAACAGAATACAGTAAAGATATCAGTAGTTTTGAATTTGATATATCTAAAGGGTTTTGATCTTTATTGACATTAAAATCGTAAACGTGTTAATGTGCGCTACAGTTCCCCCCTCAGCACATTTGCAAAGGTGGCAAGGTAAATTAGATTCCAGGACAGTGTAGCTCACTCAGCACTCTCATATTTAATCTTCACCCCGACTGCAGTACGACAGCAAAAGAGCAAATTTTCTTCATGTGCAAAGGTTAATGTCCTATTAAGATAGGGCTAAAAGTGAGGAGTGACCCTCTGGCAGAACATAATCAAGGAAATTGGTTTCTGAGCCCAGCTAATCCATCAAATTATCTAGAGCAGAGCATGAGGCCTGGTCACTTCAGGTGTAATTCTGTGTTTACTAGGTGGAACTGGGTTCCCATTTTCTAGCTTCTATCAACATAAAATGTATGTAATGCATCTAATGCTTCAGTTATCAGTTAGCTATTTAATTATGACAGACACAGTGGGAACAGTTAATTTTAAAAACATCAGGATTTATGTTTTTATTTCCTTCTCCCTTTCAAGGTTCAATTGAGATGAAATGCCAGTTTAAAGTATTTCTCTGCATGCTTTTAAATGATCTGTACAACTGGCTCTCCTGTAGAAATGTGTCATTTGTCAGTGACCACTGACCTTACACTCCTTCCTTGGCATCACCAGACAAAGTGGCCATAAAGATCCTAGACAAAACCAAGCTGGATCAGAAGACCCAGAGGCTGTTGTCCAGAGAGATGTCTAGCATGGAGAAACTACACCATCCCAACATCATACGCCTCTATGAGGTTCGACACACACACTCCTGATTAATATGGAATTTGTCAGTAATCACTACATCCGGCCGGCATCTTTTGTAATGCACTCTGACACTCTAGTCACCCTTTCTGTCTTTCCTTGTCTTGTTCAGGTGGTGGAGACGCTGTCACGGTTACACCTGGTGATGGAGTATGCGGGGGGAGGGGAGCTCTATACCAAGATTACTACAGAGGGGAAACTTTCTGACACTGAGAGCAAGATTGTCTTCGCTCAGATCCTCTCGGCTGTCAAACACATGGTCAGTACATGTAAGTTTATATTGAAGCATTATGTTTAGGTAAAAGAATCTCATTCTGGTGCGCTTTAAGCTTCTGCTGCCAGTTTCAGTCTCCTAACTATCAGAATGAATTACTTGGATTCAAACCTAAAGAGCACATTTAACAGAATTACTTTGTAAATGTTGTGTTCTGACAGATGTCGAAATATTAATACAGAGCCCTATGTGTATTATCATTAAACCGATTTACATGCCAGAGTCATGGTCCCCTATTAATATAATCATGGTTTGGATCATCTTGAAGCAATGAATTAACATGAAAGTAGATCCCTCTTACGTAACAGTTTCTCCTTGTTCTCCCACAGCATGAAAACAACATTATCCACCGTGACCTGAAGGCAGAAAATGTCTTCTACACCAACAGCTCTTGTGTCAAGGTCGGGGACTTTGGCTTTAGCACGCTGAGCCGCCGTAGCGAGACACTGAACACATTCTGCGGCTCACCGCCTTACGCTGCGCCTGAGCTGTTTCGGGATGAGCATTATGTGGGCATATTTGTAGACATCTGGGCCCTGGGGGTGATGCTGTTCTTTATGGTGACAGGCACCATGCCGTTCAGGGCCGACACTGTGGCCAAACTGAAGCGATGCATCCTGGAGGGGGCCTACATCCTGCCCTCGTGGGTGCCAGAGGCATGCCAGAGGCTGATCAGGGGAATCCTCCAGCCCATACCATGTGACCGCTGCACAGTGGAGCAGATGATGGGCTGTGAGTGGCTGCTCCCTGTGGACTTCCCGCGTGCCATGGATCCCTTTAAACTAGACCCATCCTACCTAGCAGAGAGTGATCCGTCTGAACTCAGGGAGGAAGAGACGGAGGTAAAAGCAGCACTGGAGACACTGGGGATCACCTCAGAACACATCCTCAACAACCAGGGGAAAGACTGCAGGAGCTCCATCACAGGGGTCTACAGGATCCTACTACACCGTGCTCACAAGAGAAGAGCTGTTGAGAGCGTGCCTGCGGTCACAAAGGTAGTCGGACCAACTACAAGTAAAAAGGAACGACTAAAAGTGTACCGTAGTTTAAGGCACACATCTAAACTTTGTGTGATTCTGTGAAATGCTCTGCTTCGCTTTGGAAATTAATTGACTTTATAGTCTGGAATGAGATTGCATGGATTTCATTAGAAATATTTTAAAAGTGCTTTTCAGTCCAGCAGTTTCAATTGAAATCGTGATATGTAACTCTACTCAGCTCCTGAAATCTGGGATTTCTTGCTTTAGTATTTTCCTTCTAGTAAAATTAGTCTCTGTGAGAATGTTGGTGAATCTCCTTTTTTGACAGGGATGGGGACCTCATGAGATTTGGAAATGTTATGAAATATAATTTAAGTAATGAGAAATTAGATGGCCTATGTAACTTTTTATTTGGGTCATGCGGGCTGGCAATATTTATAGCCCATACGCATTCTATGCTCAGCTGTGCTGAAACACCAATAAAACCCCAATGAGAAATCAATGTAGAATAAATCTTAAGGAAAAGTTATAAATCAACTACATCATGCTGAGGTGATAAAGTGGCAAAACATGCAATCAGTACATGAAATGTGGTGTATCTAATGTTTAATAGCACTTTTCGTCAATGCCTTAGTTTTCTATCATGTTATGAAGGCAGACAGACTGGTTTCATTTTACTCCTTACTGTTTGTGATGACATGACTAGAGATTTCCATCTTACCTTCTTATGTGATGTATCTCTATGAGATGTTCGGCTGATTGACCTGAATGACCTCACTCTATTTTCCCTGTGGCCTGAAAAAGCCAATAAATGAATGAACGAATACCAACCACTAAAGGTATTAGTAGTTCATGTGGCAAAAGTTTTGACTCAGACAAGTTTTGATTATCTGATGCCATGTTCATGCTCATGTGTTGATTAAAATATATACTAAACTTCTGTATTTGTATGGGTTTTTTGGGGGGGGAAAAATAACACTAAACGCACTGTAAAAGTGCATTAACTGGTGTCTTATGTGCAATTTTCATTGCACAATCAGCTTCTTGTGGTGGTGTTTGAAAAAACAACACCCAAGAACTTAAGTAGTCGGTTATTGTTTTCAACCTTTGGAGTAGCATAATGAAAAAACAAAACTAATAATTTAGGATAATATTTATCTATCTTTTAAATTTGTATTTTTTCCTGCTGGACAATCATGAGTAGGCCTACAGTCAAAATCCTTATAGCTAACAAAACAGTACGTGGCAGGGCACTGTACTACACTTCCCAGAAGCACCCAGGAAGACCACGTACTCATGTCCGCCTTGACGTGATGACGCATTTTTTGCCCTGTTGGAAGACTGCGGTGTGAAAGAGGAAGCGCTTGACGGTAGAAGGTAGCAGTGGAGAAACGCTGAGTAGAGAACCCAAAACACATCCGCACTCACTCACTTGAATGGTATTTTGTTTCCTGTCATCGAACGGTAAGAAAATTAATGTCTACATTAACTATGTTTAATGTTTTTTTTTTATGTGTTTAATGTCACGAGGGACCACGCCCTCTTGGCAATAGAGATTATTACAGGATTAAAACTGGCTCGTCTGTTGGCCTGAAAGACATTTCCTTCTTTCTGCCCCTGAGGTATAAGTTACGACGTTAATGCAATCCTTTTTGCACCATGTGAAATGGAAAATCTACTGAATCATATTGCTCAGGGATGGGTTCGCTGCCACGTTAACAAACGCTAGGTCATTTCGTTTGTGATTTAAATGGCTATGCTGCAAGACAGTAACGTTATTCTTTCAATAAAGACACAGTGCTTCCGGGATTCCTTTCATATGTTTTTCTATTTTCCTCGCCAAACAATGCAGCATAGATATGGTCCTTATTTGTTTTGACACTTGATATTGTATCAGATCACATGACAAAGACATGTGGGGGCGGGGCTCAATAAAAGATGAGGTCATGATGGGAGCGTGGCAATGATGCAATATGAAGCTGTTTACATGACACTTTGGAAAACCCCATTAAAGGGGGAGTATAGTCTGTCATACTGTGAGATCCCTCCCTAAATATTGTGGCTGCTGAGGGCATGAACCTCCTTATAGTCAACAGTATCCACATGCATCTTCAGCCTCCACATGGGGGTCAGCCAGGGGGGAAACGAACACAACCCAAGGAATCAAACACTTTAAGTATGGTGGAAGCTTACTGGACCTCTCTCCATTTACTATACCTTTCTGTTGTCCTGTGACACAAGTATCACTGTAATACCATCCCTAGTTCTATAGCACGGTGATATCCAAAACAAGGACATTCTTCTATGACAACATTTGACTTGGTACTCAAGACTGCATATCCATTTTTTTAGGTATGACTACTGGGACATTTTTATAACATTTAGTCACAGCAGAGGCGTGTGGTAAAATCTCTGATAAGCAATCATATGCTAGTCGACAGAGAGATTCAATGTTCTTTTCAGTCAACTCAGAAAATGCACTTAATCACTTGACCGTAGGGCTGCAACTAACCGTTATCTTCAATATTGATTCTGTCTTATTTATTTTCAATCACAACTTCCCAGTTCTTCCCAATTCTTTGAATTGCATTTTTTTCCATTCAAAATAATATTTCTGTAAATTTACACTGGTATAAAACAGAGACACATCAACAACCAGGAATTTTTTCCAGATAAATGTTAATATCTTCAGCACTACTTACCAGCCTATGAGACCAATAAATTGTGTTTAACCTTTATCACAAAATTGTGAAACCCAACCCCAACAATGTCTAGTCTGAGATCATACTTGTATTAGGTATATCAATTTCATGTTAATAACACATGAACATCAATGCCATTTTTGAATAATTAAACAAAGCTGTGGTCTGTGTTGCCCCAGATGTCAGTAGTCGCCGAGGATCTTCCAGACATGGATGGAGCAGACCTGTTAGGGCTGCTGTTCAACAATGGAGAGGACGGGTCCACTGAGCCTCTCTTTCCTGATGGGAACGGGCTCATCGAATCCTGGCTGTCTGAAGAAGATGTAAGACTTGAGTCACAGAGAAGACAAATAAAGATAAATTGTGGAGGAAGTTGATTAGATTGCTCTCCAAGATACTATTTAACCAAATTGTTCCTCTTGAGTTTGGGTTGACTCAGAATTCTACCACTGTGTATTTTCAAACTTGTGTTATCATAGTTGAAATGGGATGTCCCTCAATTGTTTAAATAGTTAACTACTAACTATAATGGTGTGTTTTCAGGGTCCGAACATTATGCTGTTATCACCATAGAGCAGCTAAAAGCACAACTGTGTGCATTGTGGTGTGTAATAGAGCCCAATATGGAATTTTAAAGACCAATTCTGATTTAGGCATTTGAGGATTTTAAAATCTGGTAAATCGGCCAATATTCTTTTTTTTATTCTTCTTTTCAGATACACATAAACATAAACAGAGGTTATCCCTAACATTTGTTATGTGTAGTTATGAGACTTCATTAAGATAACATGACATAGTGCAGTTTAAAAAAAGCTTTTTTTTATTGTTAAAATAGTACTTTCAAGCCGATTATGATAATGTGTTGCCAACAGGGGAGTTGCAGAGTGCCCTCTGGTGGACAGACTATGTAATGACAACATAACATGATTGAGCGTCTCTGTTACTTTTTTAAATTGTCATTTATCTGCTGTATAAACACTAATACTGGTTTATCTGCAATTAGCTCATATCAGGCTCTTGTGTAATACAGTTTTCTTTCTCCCAGATGCTGACAGGTATGGATACAGAGGACTTTCTGTCCAGCTTGTTAGAGGGAGAAGACAACATGGAGGCTCTCTGTCCCTCTCATTCTCCCTCGGCCAGCGACAGCGGTATTTCGGATGACAGCAGCTCTGGGGTTGGAAACAACAACATTCTTGAATGCTCGAGTCCACAGAGCAGTGATAGTGAGATTGTGCCCAGTCCCAGCTACTCCCAGCCCAGCCCGGTGTACTCCGACCCGGCCCCTGGAGTGCTGCAGACAGAGAGCCTGGAGGCCTTAATGGTCCAGGCGGATCACAGCTACTCTCTGCTGCAGAGCGGCGGCAGGGACATGGATGTCCTGCAGAGTGTGAGGGCAGAGAAGCCAGATACAGATGTCTTCATTGATCTGGGTATGTGTAGTCCAGGAACTCTCTCATTCTGACTTCATGTGTGAGATCTATAGGCTTAGGTACTTCAACATTTCAAAACACATGGATTTAGTGCAATTGCAAGTGCTGTAATTATCAATTAAGTAATTAAAAACACACTTACTTTCCTAGCGGATCAGAATAGCAAATGAAGTGAATTTCAAATGTATTTCTCTTGTGTCAGATGACTTGGTGAGTGAGGCAATAGAGGAGGACAACATCACCAGCGAGCTGCCCTACACTTTGGCCATAGAGGACTCAACACAGGACTCGACTGAACCCAATCAATCAGACCAGGTCAGTCTCCCCTGTTTTTCCCCACTTTTCATTCTCCATCTTACGTTTCACTGAACATGATTTAAAAATCTTCTTTTCTCCCTCCAGTTCCAGTTCAAAGAGATTGTGCTCACTGAGGAGGAGAAGCGGCTTCTGTCGAAAGAGGGAGCAACTATTCCCACACACATGCCTCTCACAAAGGTAATTGATGCCGAAAAACGCTTATTTACTTGAACTGATGGTCTTGTCGTAAAACTGCTGTGGATGCCAAATTATTGTATGAAAAAATTATTGTTGTTCATTTTTGTAGCAATCACTGTACAATAATCCTGAACCATGTAATTTGTGGTATTGTTTGGCCATATGTGAATGTTTTTGTCTCATAATTTGGTTTGATAGCTATTTTGTTTTTTTTGGCACTCAAACCCTTTTGCTTTTGCTTTTGCTTGATGAATAGTCAAATAGATTTTTCTGTGTGGTCTTTCTGCGGCGCAGCTGCTGAGGGCAATTATACACATCGTCATCTGTCGTGTGTACATTCTGAAAGCCTGCTCTGTGTTGAACAGGCGGAGGAGAGGACATTGAAGAGGGTCCGTAGGAAGATCCGCAACAAGCAATCCGCTCAGGAGAGCCGCAAGAAGAAGAAGGTGTATGTTGATGGACTGGAAAACAGGTGAGATGAAAAGGCCAACATTTCTACAAATGAATTATCTTGGTTACATTCTCTGACATAGATATAGATATATCTTATTACAAAAATGCCTCAACGCCGCTCCTCTGTACAGTCATTGTATCAAACCCGTCCCATATTGGATAAACTGTAGTGACTGGCCAGACCCAGGCCAGGTTGGCTGGAAGTCTGCCTGAATGGCAGGAGGATCACACACATACGCCAGAGCCTGGTTCCCAGGCTATACTAATGACTAAGACGATTATCCAAATAGTTAATTAAGTGTTGATCCGCTAATTGATTAATCGACAAATTTTTACAAGTCTGTAGTCAACAGCAAAACAGTTATTGGTGTATGAGGAGCAGTAGCAACTAGGGCTGAAACGATTCATCGATTTACTAAAATGCATTGACACAAATTCTTTGCATCGAGGCTTCGTTTAATCCCTATGACTATATAGCACACTGTTTAGGCAGACATTTATTACTGTCGCACATCGCGCTGACGCTGTGAACACGACGTGATTATGATGCCGCTGTTTGCAAAGTGGAGGAAGAGAGAGAAAATAGTGAGGAACGAAGAAAAAAGTGTCCAAAGTATGGGATTATTTCAAGCTAAAAGAAAACAACAACTCTGTAATGTTGCAGTCCGTCCACAGTAAAACGAGACTTACGTCGCCTAACGTTACCACAACAGCACGATGGCAGCTGATAAGAAAGCCGCCAAGCAAAAGTACTTCTTAAACGACGAATCGATGAAATAATCTATAGAAGCTTCAAGTACTAAACTTATCGTTAGCTGCAGCCCTATCAAGCTCAAGAACATACACTGAAGAACTAA